ACCTCAAAGAGAAAGAAAGTTCATATGTATTTTGCTGGTAAAATCTAAAATAACTCAAAGCTTTGAACAATAGGTTTTTCATCCAGGGTCACTGAAAATGCTTCTAAAATGTATGGTTCATTTTCTACAGTAATAAAAGAAATGAATTCTAAAGCAAATTTGTGATACCATTTTACACACACGACATAAGCAAACTATTTAAATATCCTAACGCCCAACCAAGTGTACTCTTACTCCTGCAGATTTATTGTAGGTAAGACGAAAATACTACTAAAGAACTGAAAAATGTCCATAATCTAGTGAACAAATGAAACACAACATGTTTTCTGTCTATATGTTCTGCAAAGATTTAAAAATATATCTGCTACCACCACCCAGTGTGGGCTGAACTCTCTCAAGGGTGGGGACCAGTCCTGATGGTGGCTCCCTCCAGTTTACAGAGCTGAGGCCAGAACGTGCAGAACGTGGCCAGGAGCACCCGTGCAGAACGTGGCCAGGAGCACCCGGAGCACAGCGGGCCTCCCCTGCTGCCTGCCCCAAGGGGGCGGAGCCTCAGCGAGGGAGGTGTGGTCTCCCCTGGGGTGTACGTGCACAGGAAAACGCCTGCCCCAACACAAAACTACAGGCCCCCAGAGCTAAAACAGATGTCCTCACATATCCATTTTGCACTCATGCGGGACTAACTCTAGCTAAATTTCTAGATTAGGACAATGGGTATGTGCATTTTAAAAGCTGACAGACTTTGCCCAGCTGCCCTCCAAAAAGATTACAGGAAGTGACATTCCCACCTCCCCACAACCCGCCTCCACGTCACAGCTGCCCCGCCCTCCTCACCAGTTTGGACTCTTTGGCCCAGCCTTTCCATCTCTCTTGCCCTGCGTTCCTCCACTGCACTCATCTGGCGGAAGTTCAGCCCCTTGTTAAGCCCAGCTCAGTACCTACTCCAAGCCTCAGTACCTGTCCAGCTGAACACGGCTGGACAAAACACTCAAAACCTTCACTTTAAATGTCTGACCATAAATCTCCAGTGACACAGAACCACCAGCAAATGGCCCCATTTCCTCAGTTAGTTCCTGTCACCATCTCCACGTCCAAGACGACTTTCCCGCTCCTCTTCCTGCCTTCCCAGCTCACCAACACTCCTCCCTCTCGCCCCTGCTCCCCTGCCTGTATCATCTGATGACCTCACTGGAAAAACAGGGGCAGTCAGGAGCAGATTCTCTTCTTCCTGGGACAAACACAGCGGCCCACTCTACCCACGCGCATCCGCTCTGCCTCCTCTCCTACTCCAGGGGATACATGGGACCCCAGCCTCCACCAGCCCACTCCCCCGCTGGTCCAGGACTGTGCTCTCACCACCGTCCCCTCGACAGCCCTCAGACTGACACCTCCAGCCTGCACGCCAACCTCATGTTCTCCACCTGCTGACCCGAGAGTCGCCTGCGTGACTGACACGTGTCTCAAACCTAACACGTACAAAACGGGGTTCTCAACTCCCTGCCCTGCCCTCCACGCCATCTTCCCCAGCTCAGTGAGTAATACCAACTGGACCACCCTTCACCCCACAGCTTGATCTAAAACCCTAGGATCACTTTTGACCCTCCCCACATTTCTTCTAACAGGAAGTCACAATTGTTCTAGCTCCAAAATACGTGGGGAATCCTACATTTCTCTCCTCTCCACCACTCCCTCCAGTCTCCCATCACCTCTTGCCTAGCCTGCTGCAATGGCAAGCTACGCAGTCTGGCCCTCCAACTGTCTATTCTCAGCAGAGCAGCCAGAGTGATCTTTTTAGAACATACACAAATCACAGCACTTCTCTGCTGAGAATCCTCCAATCACTTTCTTGCACAGAATACAATCCGAACTCCTCACCACATTCACAAGGCTTCAATGTGCTCGCCCCCTCCCTCCACAGCCTCATCTCCTACAGCCCCGTCTCCTTCCTGTCCACTCGAGGACACTGGCCTCCCGGCCCTCCCACGGTCACGCCAAGATCATGGCTGCTTCAGAAATCTTGTACTTCCGGACTTTCCAGAATGCTCTTCTTTGGGTCTTCACATGCTGAGCTCCATCACGTTATTCAGGCCTCAGATGTCCCCTCCCCGAAGGGGCCTTGCCAGACCACTCTGTCCTCTCCACTGCAAAGCCAACTAGAGCCTCCTTCACGGCACTCATCACTGCCCGAAATCACGCTGTTTACTCACTTGTTCTCTGTCCCCCTGCCTCTAGGATGGGAGCTACAGACATGAGCTTATAGGGCCTGGCACAGGGAAAATGCTTAATAAACACCTGTTGAGTTAATGAATATTACTTTTACAACAAAAACTAATTTTTAAAAATTTAACTGCATGTACCATTGCCATATTGTAAACAACTGGGCCTATGAAGAAAGGCTAGAATACTAAAAAAGGTAAAAGTAGTTACAATGGGAAAACTTTTTTATTTACCAACCTATTTTAATGTTTTATGCTAGTTTTATAATTTTAAAAAACAGAGTTTCTATTCTAAGTGCAAGATAAGGGAAGGTCTGCCAGTGTAGAGGGTCACTAAACACCGATTCTGAGAAAGACAGCCCTGACCCTGGGAGCTGGCCTGGGCCGTCACCTGGGCCTTGGTGCTGAATGTAAAAAGTGACGTGAGACAACACCACTCCGGAGCACGCGCCTACCTCCCCAAGGCCACCGGGACCCAGCAGACCCCCTCAGAGAAAGCTGCAGGAGCCCTGAGTGGGGCGTTGGGCCACGTGTCACCACCAACTTCTACATCTGCCTGGTCAAGTCCTGCACTGCGCTGGAGGTGACCAGACCGCCTCTGGCAAATTAAGACAAATATAAGACCGCCCTGTAGTGACATCTGAGTACAGACGCACCATGAACACCCACCCACCCACCCCCAGCTCACGAGTGACTACAGTTTTTTACTCATTTCCGCTTTAGTCTCTTCTCCCTATCAGTAAAATTTATTAAAATACTGAATTATAAGTATACCTGAACCTAGCCCTGGCTGGCGTAGCTCAGTGGATTGAGCGCGGGCTGCAGACCAAAGTGTCGCAGGTTCGATTCCCAGTCAGGGTACATGCCTGGGTTGCAGGCCACGGCCCCCAGCAGCCGCACATTGATGTTTCTCTCTCTGTCTCTCTCTCTCCCCCTCCCTTCCCTCTCTAAAAATAAACAAATAAAATCTTTAAAAAAAAAAGTATACCTGAACCTAATATAACTAAGATGATATTGCATACCAACTATACTTAAATTTAAAAATTCTTTATAAAAGCACTTCTCCAATTTAAGGGAAAAATACTGAACTACAGAGTTACCCACTTTCTGGCAGCACCCATTTGTGGACACAAAGGGGCCACATGCTAAGCCTGACAAGCTCAGGGGCGGCCTGCGTGGCAGCCTCACTAACTCAGAGACCTAAAGGAAGCACAAAGGCTGGTCTGAAATTAAAACTTACTAAGAGCAGTTTACGTCCTAGGCTAGAATCCTCCCTGACAAAAGTCAATCTTTACCTTAATGAAGCCTGTCTATTGTCTCTCTACGATAACGTACCTTTGGAATGTCAAAGTAACTTCTTTGTTCTGGACCCCTCAAAGCACAGATACCACACATCCCCTCGTTGTTACTGGTTAACTGTCGACTGTTGACTGTCCTTTACCCACCAATGTAAAAAAAGTCTATTATCTTTTCTTTTATCCAATCCCAGAAGTTTCCCTGCTTTGCTTCCTCCCACTTCCCTAATCTGTTCCCCAGGGATTTCAGGTGACCCACCTACATCCTCCCTTCACAAAGCTGGGGCAGAACTGCCATTCTCTGGAGCATTTTCTCTATCACCTGAGTTCTTGCTTCCCAGCAGTTGTGGTCAGTTTGGCTCAAATAAACTCACAAAAATTCTCTTCAGGTTTGAATGTTTCTTACGTTGACAGCAAAGCCCCCAAACCCTCCCGACTCACTAACACGAGCCCAAGCTCTGTACTAAGTCTGCGGCAGCGTCCTGAGACGCCCTGCCGCTTCCCACTGTGTGGGTTCTCCCCTGCCCGGCCAAGCAACAAGCTAACTTGTCCAACCGAAGGTATGTTCCTGGTAGTCTCTGCCTGGCGGGAAGTGACAGTTGTCAGGGCATCGACTGCCATGACAGGCCGCTATGCACGCAGAAGTCATAGGAGCCCGACTGGAGAAACGACTCCAGGACACAACTCAGGGCTGGTTTTCTGAACACACTCCCTGACATCAGCTGCTTTTCTTGTCATCTGCCTCTTTCTCCTAAAAGCTGGATGAAGTGAGAAGAAAAAGTCTAGTTAATTCGATGCTGCCCTGGACATCTTCCCTTCCCTCCCATTTCCAAGTCGCCCTGGCACAAGGTTAGAGCGTGGCTGGACGACTGACTCATGGGCAGAGCCCGAGGCAACGCTACCCAAGTACTTTAAGCCACATGTTCAAGCCCAATAAATTAGCCAGGCTTAAAGAAGTCAGGCTGTACGCATGTAAGAATTTTAATAAGCTTGGAAAACGCTACCTAGAGCTTATGCGCGAACTTACTGTACCAATGGGATTCCCTGCCACCGGCCACGGAGTGCTAAGCCCCTGACAAGAGCTTCTGAGCACACGGGGCAACAGTGACAGGCAGTCGGCTTGGTCCAGGTTTCCTCTGGAGTTGGACACTCGCAGCCGGAGGCTGGCAGCCAGATGGATGGAGAGCAGAACAGGGCGTGCAGCTCGGTGGAGCCAACGGCATTTACTAGGAAAACATGTCGGAGCTTTCTTGGGTGGAAATCTGGTCCTCACACACCCTTCCAGAAACAAGCAAACACTGTAATCAGTGTCTGCATTTATCAAGTGCCTGTTTGTATGCAGAACTGTGTTAGGTACAATAGAGAGTTATTTAAGCAAGCATGGTCTCTGCCTTCTAGATGCTGACACCTAATATAAATAAAAACAATAAATCTGTCCAGAGGATTACCAAACTAACTGAACAAACACGAAAGAGTCGAAAGCACTCACCTTATACAAACGCAATGGAGTAAGAACTGCAGGGCAAGTCATGGGAGATGACTCTCTAAACAGGGCGGCACCCTAATGGAACAGTTACCTTGTTAAGGCTGAGTCTCCACCTGGAGATGGGCTTTTAAGAAAAGCTTCAAGGGCTGGCTATGGGCTTGGGGGAAATGAGCCAATCAGAGATGAGGGTGCACCTTGGGAGATGATTTAGACAGAAATACAACTAGAAGGAGAAAGAAAATTTGACAACTGTCCAAGAAGATTAGGAGAAATCAGTCAAGTCAAGCTGGTGTGTGTTTCTTAACTCTTGTTACTCATGCTCCCTTCTGATAAACATAAACTCACACTGTCTTATCACGTTATTTAAAATTTAAAAGGAAACTAAATCTCCTAACCAGCACCAAATCAAAGCAAGAGTGGTTTCAGAATTTGATTTTCCAAATGATTAAACACCTTCCTCCCCTAGAGCTAAGTGAGAATCGCTCCCTCGGCTGGGTGGTATCGAATGCCAACGAGGGCTGAATTCTTGCAGAAGAGGGTGTAGGTCCTGGATCCACAGGGGATCGGACAGCCAGCAGTGTTAGGAAGTTACAGCCTGAGCAGACAAAAACGACCATGGTACTAGCAAGAGTATACAAGGATTACCTGATTAAAGTTTTTGAAGGAGAACTCTTTGTAGATGGCATCTCTCTCTTGTAATTTCGACCATCCTGCTGCTTGAAGGTCAAGGATAGCTTGGCTCCTCTCCTCTGCTGTCAACAAGTGAGCATCTGCTGACTGTGAAAAGAACACACTCAATATCTGAAATGTAGAGCTTTAGTTCAACTCAAATCAACTCGTAACTCTTTTCCTTATTAAAGATGTGCAAAAGTCTTAAGAGCAACAATTTCTAAACGTCGTTGGTTCCTTCATTCTCAAAATACAAAGTTTTCAAAATATAGACAAAAACAAGGCCAGCTCTACACCACATAAGCTGCCTGCGCGGGACGGTGTCTCACTGACCCTCACCGCTGTCTCACACTTCACACTTCCGCTTCTCCGGTGTATTACAGCTACAGCTGAGGTTTGCCATCACCACTGGCCACCTCACCAATGACCATTAACGATGGCCAGCACTCCAGTTCTTAGGAAACTGAGGTGGACACTCCTACCCAAGGAAGCCCTGAAAGTCCACTGGCAGGACCAGGATTAGAACCCAGGTATTTAGGCTCTAAATACCTGGTCTAGTGCTCTTTGGATGGTCCCACAAAACCTCAGTAGCCTTCACTGCTTACTGACGTGGGACTTAACGATCTGGGTTCACTATCCCTTTCAGATATAATGAAAACTAATCCCAGAGAGTAAAAAATCAAATGCATATTTACACAGGATTTTGATAATAACTTCTGGGGGGTCCACACACCCTCTGGACTGACTGCGGGTAAAAAACCTTTTACTTCAGCAACGTGAGTTTCCTCAGGGCCCCAGGAAGACCTCCCTCCACAGTCTGGCCAGAGCGCTGCCCAGTCCCAAGCACTGGTGTGCACTGTCCACTTCACTCCTGCTCCCACTGCCCATGTAATTTGCAAATCCAGAGTCCTGCTGGTTAAGAGGCCCACACTTCCCATACTACTTGTTTTTTAACTGAAAGAACTTTAAGCATCATGGCCAGAGAGAGAAGAGAAGGGCACTCCAGTAAAAGTCAGAAGAATTTTGTTCTCATTCTGGTGGAAGTGCCATCCAGAACCTCCTGCCTTACCTATCTGCAGGGCTACTGTAGACTCAGGTGACAGGGGGACCCTAAAACCTTTACCACTGTCATTAAAGTAAGAGGACAGGCAGAAGACTTTCTCTAAGACAACGTATTCTAGAGGCTCTGGTCCAGAGGGCGGAGTAGGTGAGCACCGTGCTCTCCTCCTCCCATAATCACATCAAAATTACAAGTAAATTACAGAACCACCAACCTAGAGAACCACCTGCGATCTAGTGAAACAGAAGTCCTGTAACTAAGGATGTAAAGAAGCCACGATGAGACTGGTAAGAGAGGCGAGGACGCAAACCGGGCTGACCCCACACCCACGTGTGGCGGTTGAGAATCGGGAGGACATCTCGGCTACAGAGGCCCCCCACTGAGGAGCAAGGGGTCCCAGCCTCACAGTGGTGTCCCCAGCCCACGTGCCAGTGTCAGAAAGAGGAGCCCCCACACCTAGCTGTGAAAATCAGCAGGGATTCCATCCATCTGGTGACACTCAAGGCTGCTGGACACCCAGGCATCCTCTAAAGGGCTGACACACAGACTCACTCGCTCACAGGCCCTCTCACCCCGGGCTCCTGTGGAGGGACAGTGACTTGGGAGGTGTCAGAGACACACAGGAAGAAACTGAGTTGTGTGGAGTCAGGGTAAGGGCTGGAGGGATGGCCACCATTGCCCGTCCTGAGCTCCCCTCCTGCACAGTTGAAGGGCACCACCGTTCCTATGCTGAGAGCCCCCACACACTCACAGCCAAAAGTGAATCTGTACTGGCCTGGGGAACTGTGCTCCCTCCACCCTGATGACTGCCTGAGGCCCCACCACACCCAAATCAAGGACCAACAGAGGCTATTTCACAGTGGTGGCCAGACCGTGCTGCAATCTTTCTTAAAAATTCTCCAAGGGCCCTGCCTGGTGTGGCTTTGTGGGTTGGCCACTGGCTTGCAAACCAAAGGTTGCTGGTTCGGTTCCCAGTCAGGGCACATGCCTGGGTGGCAGGCCAGGTCCTCAGGTGGAGAGGCAACCAAGCAATGTCTCTCTCACATAATGATGTTTCTCCCCCTCTCCTTCTCCCTCTCTTCCCTTCTCTCTAAAAATAAGTAAATAAAATCTTTAAAGAAAAAATCCTCATAGGTCTGCAGGCCCTGGGGGTGGCTGCTGGCCTCAGTGTGCCCCCTGTTGAATGGACCCAGGTTTGGCACTGGTGCCATTCAGAATTCTCATTAACCTGGTAAACACCACTCTTCCTTCCCTAGTGACTCCCTGAGACCCCACCTCACACAACTTGCACACCGCCAAGGCTCTTTCAGTGGCTGACCAGCTGGCAGGCAGTGGCAAGCCTCACAGTGCCCTGTGCCTTTTGCTGAGCTGCCCCAGGTCTGGTACTGGTGGAAGCCGGCCTCAGTCTGCAGTGTCTGGCACAGACAGCTAACGACCACAGAGAGCTGTGTAGCCCCTGCAAGGTAGCCCCAGGCCAGTCACAGGCAACTGCTGACCTGGGTTTGCACTGGAGCCCTTCCCAGGAGACCTCGGCAACAACACACCTGGTGGCCAGCTTCAGACCACAACAGACCACCACCCAATTAGCTCCGTGAGTGGCATGCCCCAAGGAAGATCTCAGCAAACAAAAGAGCCCCCTGGAGTGAATCCCGCTCCATGGGGTCAGCTCCCTGCACAGCAGCTCATTCGCTGTGGTTGTGACCAGTCCTCACAGCCGTGCCAACAGCGATAGAGACTCAACTACACTCTTTTCCTTCTGGTACACGGTACTTTGGGAGCCACGGGTTTCAGTGGAGACATGGCCAAATCCAGGAACCACAGCACGCACAATGAATCTCAAAAATGGTCCCGAAAGGGCATCGAGAAACTCCAATCACGAAAACACACATCTCTTCACGGGGTAGACCTCAAGTTCCTGAGAAACACATGCTTTGCCAAGAAGCACAAGAAGGGCCAGAAGAAGATGCAGGCCAACAAGACCAAGGTCATGAGCACACATGCTGCAGCTCTCACGGCCCTTGTAAAGCCCAAGGAGGTCAGGCCCAAGATCCCAGAGGGCAGCTGCCACAGCTCAGTCACTTGCCTACATTAGTCACCCCAAGCTTGGGAAACGTGCTCATGCCCACATTGCCAAGACAAGGATAGACTTTAAAACAAAAGCTGTAATGAGAGACAGAGAAAGGCATTTCATAATGATACAAGATCAAACAAGAGGATTTAACCCCTGTAAACATTCATGCACCCAAAATAGGACAACCTAAATATATAAAGCAAATATTAATGAACATAAACAGAGAGACAGACAGTGATACAGTCATAGTTGGGGACTTTAACACCCACTGACATCAATGGACAGATCTTCTAAACAGAAAATCAACAAGGAAATAGCAGCCTTAAATGACACGTTGGACCAAATGGATTTAATTAATATTCTTAGAGCATTTCACCTCAAAGCATCAAATATATATTCAAGTGCACATGGAACATTTTCCAGGATAGACCACATACAGGTCACAAAACAAGTTTTAATGGTATGAAGCTGGAAAAAGTTTTGTGAAAAAATGCACACACAGAGGCTAAATAACATGTTACCAAACAATGAATGTTCTCATCAAACAACAAGAACAAAGCAGAAATTAAAAGATACACTGAGGCAAATAAAAATGAAAACATAACCACCCCAAATCTGTGGGACACAGTGAAAGCAGTTCAAAGAGGGAAATTCGTAGCACTACAGGCCTACCTCAGGGAACCAGAACAATCTCAAATAATCAACCTAATCTTACACTTAAAGTAACTAGAAAAAGAACAACAAACAAAGCCCAGAGTGAAAGAAGGAAGGCAATAATAACGATGGGAATGGATTTAAATGAAATAGAGTCTAAAAATATAAATATAAAAGATCAATGAAACCAAGAGCTTGTTCTTTGAAAAGATAGACAAAATTGATAAACCTTTAACCAGACTCATCAAGAAAAAGAGAGGACTCAAATAAATAAAATCAGAAATGAAAGAGAAGTGAAAACCGACACCAAAGAAATGCAAAGGGTTATAAGAAAATACTATGAACAATCATATGCCAACAAATTGGACAACCTGGACGAAACAGACAAATTCTTAGAAACATACAATCTTCCAAGACTGAATCAAGGAGAAACAGAAATTCTGAACAGACTGATTACTACCAATCAAATCAGTAATCAAAACATTCCCAATAAACAAAAGTCCTGGACTAGTTGGTTTCACAGGTGAATTTTACCAAACATTCAAAGGAGAATTAACAGCTCTCCTTCTCAAACTATTCCAAAAAATTCAAAAGGGGGGAAGGCTCCCAAGCTCATTTTACATGGACACCATTACCAATTCCAAAACCAAAGAGATTTTAAAAAAGAAAATTATAGGCCAATATTCCTGATTAACACAGATGCAAAAAACCCTCAACGATGCACATCAAAACCACAATGAGCTATCACCTCACCCCTGCAAGAATGGCTCTCATCCACAAATCAACAATAAGTGAGGACAGGGATGTGGAGAAGAGGTGTCCTTGCGCGCTGCTGGTGGTATTGCAAATTGGTGCAGCCACGATGGAAAACAATTAAAAGTAGAACTAACTGATGACCCTCAATTCAACTTCTGGGTATTTATCCAAAATAATCCAAACACATTTGAAAAGGTACACGCACCCCTATTTCACTGCAGCATTATTTTGCAGTAGCCAAGATATGAGAGCAACCTAAGCGCCCATCAACATACAGTCGGATTAAGAAGCTGCGGCACACACTGTATTTGCCGTGTATAACATGCACTTGTTTGCTCAAAACTTTTGAGGGAAAAATAGGGATGCGCATTATACGTGGCTAGTACTAAGTCAGTATCTATATAAATGGTTTTAATTCTTTATTTATGCTTATGCATTAAAAGTGTAACTCTAGAAAGCAATGATGATGTCCATATGCAAAATAATACCCTGGAATATGATCATGGATTTTGTTTCTAAGTATAAATAAATAAAAAATTGAATTAAAGAATTAAAACAAAAGGGTTTTTTTTCTTGAAAGTTTGGGCCAAAAACATGGGTGCACATTATACATGGCAAAATACGGTGTATGCAATGGAATATTATTCAGCCATAAACAATGAAATCTTACCATTTATGGCAGCACGGAAGAACCTATAGGGGTACTACACTAAGTGAATCAAGTCAGGCTGAGAAACACAAATACCATATGATTTCACTTACATTGGAATCTAAAGAACACAATGAGCAAACAAAACAGAATCAGCCTCATAGATAACAGAGAGCAAACCGAAGGCTGCCAGATGGGAGGGGACCTGGGGGGCTGGGGGAGAGGGCAAAGGGATTGAGTACACACTGGTAGTCCCAGAATAGTCCCAGGGATGTAGAGTACAGCACAGGGAATATGTAGTCAGTAATGTTGTAATAACTGTGTGTGCTGTCAAGTGAGTAGGTCACTGTGTAAATTATATTAATGTCTAACCACTATGCTGTACACCTGAAACTGTTATAATACTGAACGTTGTTGACTGTAATTGAAATATTTAAAAAAATTATAAAAGGATAAAAAGACAACTTAGTCTATGAAGAGGAAAAAGGATGCGAATGAGCCATTTTTCTAGTTTCTTTTCTTTACTAGTTCAGCTACCCTTACCTATAATTAACAAAAAAGAAAAATGAAAATACCTCTTAATTAGATAAAAACATTCAAAGGCTTGTTATCAAAAACATTTACTGCTACGAACCAAAATATCTATTCATTCTTTAAAATGACAGTTTCTGAAACTTTTTGCATAAAGACCCACTACAAGTAATAATATAACATTTTTATTAAACACTTAAATATTTTAAGTCAACTCAGACAATTTTGGAAAAGAAACAGAACTATGTGCACCCACCCCGAGTGGCTGTGAAGAAAAGGACCGAGGGTGTAGTAGGTAGCGCACCTGTCACCTGCAGTCAGTCTACGGGGCCAGCGGAGCTGTCTTGTCCTCCGCCTGCCACATCCCCAAGGAGGTCGCCAGCATGCATTCTGCCCGGGAGTGCATTCGGGCCACGGACCTCCGCGGGAACAGGGATCCCGTCCAGGGCTGAGAATGGAGCCACTTCGTCTACACACAGAAGTGGCCCCCTGGGGACACGCCTGACGCAGAACCCTTTGTGGTGGGCTTAAATTTTTTCCGTGGGAGTTGGGGATAGGGACAGGGCAAAGCATAGCATCTGAAGAGCATAAACCTGACTTAAGGCCTAGCTTTGTTACTTTAAGCTGCAGAATGCTGAACGAATCACTGAGCCTCTCCGCACACCAGCATCCTTGTGTCTATGGCAGGGATATTATAGGAGCAACCTGACGAGATTTTTGAAAGGCTTCAATTACAGAGATCTTGAATGTGAAGGCACCCAGTATAGAGCCTGGCACGTGGCAGCCCCTCAAATAGTATCTGTTTATTCATTTCTCCGCAGCACCTGAATTTCACTCAATCACCAGCCCTGGATGCAAGTTCCGCCTGGACACGTGCCTAGGTGGCAGTAAGCACTCGGCTTGTGTTCTCACCTTAACGTCCCCAAAGCGAGAGGCTTATCTTCCTCCATCCCCGATATGTTTTTAATTTCTTCTATCAAAAAACTGCAAATTGCCAAACGGGCCCCAACAAGCAACTTAAAATAAAATGAGTTTAATGCAACGTTTTCCCACTAGGTGGTGGTGCTGCACGTCAAAACTTTCACTCGTTAATTTACCACCAACACTTTAACTTCTCAGGCAGGATAGCTGAAGGACGCCTCTCGTAAGGGGAGAGAATGGATGTGTCACCAAAACCAAAACTTATTAATAACTTCTCAAAATAACACCAAAACAAACTGGTTAATTTATCATCCGGTCACCCCATTTACAGCGAGCGCGCCGCGGCCGAGACGGTCCTTGCTCTCACCGAGCGTACCAGACAGCACCTTCAGTCACTTCAAGTGACCTAAACATCAAATATTTTTACGAGTACTTTTATATTTTTAAAAAAAACAAAAGTCGTCCCCGTTCGTTTTCCGTTGGAAATTGCGTAGACTGCGATGGGATTTTTAAGCCAAGGGAAACTGGAGGATGCTGCGGCGGTGACGCTAGTCCCAGACCAGCGCGTCCGACAAGCGCGGCTGCCAAAGTCCCACTTTGGGGCATGCGCGGGTCCCTCCCGCCCCTCAGCCGGTGCCACGGAGCCTCGACCTCCTTTTGCACCGCCCGCCCTCGGCACCCACTCACCATGGCCCTCGGCACCCACTCACCATGGCCGCGCGGCCGGGACCCCGACTGCGCAGTGCCACCAACCAGCGCAGCGTCGGTCCCCGGAGCCCCAGAGCCACCGCCATGGCCGTCCGCCGAGAGCTGCCCGGCGCACTGCCTGCCCGCCGCCTGCCACCCGGGCCGCCCGTCCGCGGGCAGCTCCCGGCGGCGGGCCAGGCCGCCCGCAGACCAGGCCGCCCGCACTGCCTGGCCCCACCGTGCAGGCCCGGGTGCGCCCGGCCCCCGGAAGGCCCCGGGAGCTTCGAGGCCAGATCTGCGGGCAGCGAGCGGGGCGCGGCCCCGCAGGCCCCCGCAGGCCCCCGCGCTGTCAGAGGCCGCTCTGCGCCCCTTTCGGCTTTGCCCGGGTGCCGAGTTGCCTCACTTAAGCCGGGAAGGTGAGCGGCCCGCGGGGCGCTGGGCTTCCCTCCGCGCATAGTGTTTGACACTCGTGGACGGTCTGACGGTGCTGGACTCCCTCCAGGGCAGTGGAGCGAACAGTCCGGTGGGCAGGAGGATATCGGGGGCAGGGGAAGGAAGAGATGAGCTGCGGGTGGGTGCCTGGGAACCACTCCGATGTTCCCGGAGGGAGGGAGTTGCCAGTGAACCATCGTGATTCAGGTCAGGGGCTTGTATAGGTTAGGGGACCGTGGGTTGAAATCTGAGCTTGCTTTGTGGTTCCTTAGCTGCCAAGGCCCTGGGGAAAGTTGCCTCATCTGCATTTGCTAGATAAAATAATCCTTATTTGCCTTTTGTCTCTTTGAGATGTAACTCACATTTAACAAAATTCACCCTTCAAAGTGTGAAAATCAGTGGTTTTTATTATATCCACGTGGAGTTTCTTAACTAAATAAGCAAACTTATAAGCCGTTTTGCAGTGGATATAACAAGATTTTTTTTTTTAAGGATGAGGCAATGTGAGTTCAACTTGATAGTTACTAGCAGTTTTATTTCTCATATGGACTTGGGAAAAAATAAAGCCTTTTGGCCTCAAAATAGCCTAAAACTAAAACTTACAACCCAAACTCACTTTTTGCCCACTTGCTGAAGACTCAGGGAGGAATCTTACTGGAGACCCTAACCAAATGCCACCGGTCTCAAGGCATTTATCTCAGATGCTATAGTTTCTCTGCCTTAGGTGGATAAAGACTAGGGGTGGAATTAAAGGTTGTATTTCCAATATTTACCTTGAGTGTTTAAGACCATGAAAAATGCACACACTGCTCATTAAAGTAAAAACTGAGCCCTGGCTGGTGTGTCTCAGTGGACTAAACACTGACCGGCAACACAAAGGGTCACCAGTTCAATTCCCACTCAGGGCACAAGCCTGGGTTTTTGGGCCAGGTTCCCAGTAGGGGGCCAGGGAGAGACAGCCACACATTGATGTTTTTGTTCTTCATTTTCTCTCTCCCCTTCTCTCCAAAACAAATGGGGGGAAAATGTTTCTTAAAAAAAAAAAGAAAGAACTGAAAAATGAACTGGTAGGTGTGAGGCCTGAGGTATTGTGATTTATATTCGGTCTTCCCTAAGTGTTGAGTGATAAAGGTGTCTTGTTAAAATGTTAATGAGTTCACCTTTGGAAAGCACCTAAGGATAAGGGCTGGTGGCCCCTGGAGCAAACCACGTGGTTAGTGTTGAACCTTTCAGTCCCACCCCCTGACCTCTGGGAAGGGGAGCCACCTTGCTGAGACCCAAGCTCCCCTATGTATGCACCTCTTTATCTAGCTATTGATTTGTATCTTTAATACAATTTGTAATGAACTGGTCTAGTGAGTACACAGGTTTTCCCAAGTTCTGTGATCCTTTCCAGCAAATTAATCAAATCCAAGGAAAGGGTTGTGGGAATCTCTGATGTACAGGCAGTCCATTACAACAAGCACAAGCTCGGCTTTTCACTGGCTTCTGAAGGGTGGGGGCTGGGGACAGCCTTCTGGGACTGAACCCTTAACCTATGGAACCTGATGGGATCTAGGTAGTGTCAGGATTGAGGTGAATTCTTGGACACCCTCCTAGTGTCTGAGAGTTGTTGGTGAGGGAAACCCCTCCACCACACACTGGAAATTGGGTCCAGGAAACCCTTTAAAGTCCCCTCATCATTTTCATGATTTTCTTATCTTTTGATATGCTCTTTATTTCTCTTTTTAATAGGCACAATGTTTTCCTTGGCTCTAATGTATTAGCTATCTGATTTAAAAACAGTTTTATTGAGATATAATTCACATACCATGTAACCTGCATGGCTGTTGGTTGATTGTCCTCCACAAAGCAAAAGGTCGCAGGTTCGATTCCGGTCAGGACACATGCCTGGGTTGCTGGCCAGGTCCCCAGTTGGGGGCGTGCCAGAGGCAACTGATGAATGTTTGTTTCCCTCTTTCTCCCTCCCTTCCCCTCTCTCTAAAAATAAGAAAATCAAACCTTTAAAAATATAAAATGAAGTATACAATTCAGTGTTCTTGAGTACATTCATACGGTTAAACAACCATCACAGTCTAATTTTAGAAATTTTCATCTCCCCCTAAAAAAACCTCATACCTACTACCATTCCTCATTCCTTCCCTCGGCTTCCAGGCCTAGGAACCACCCATCTATTTTCCGTCTCCACAGATTTGTTGAACAGGCACATGTGGACGGATCCTGCCAGGGCACGACAGGCAGGCCGTGGGCTGCAGGGACACCAGCTAGCCATGAGGACCGACACACACACTTGGAGCTGGTCGTGCTGTCTCCTTCTATAAAAAAAACTTTGTACCACCCAGTGCTCTCCCCTACAGCAGCTCTTCCCCACTCTCTACTCTTGAACCTCGCCCCTCAAGGTCCAGCCCTGTGCCACGCTTTCCTCTGGGGGAGCCCCACATAGCTCATCTCAGCTATGTGTTAGAGCAAAGCCATGGATCTGTTGGTCATCCTGGGGGTCTTTCACGGCCCCCCAACTAGATAGAGCAGGGCCCCGTTACATATCAAAGGGCATGAAAATCCCAGTATCTCTAATGGAGTAACTCCCACCCTGGGAATCTGCCCCCAAGGAAATGAGACAACATTCCATAAATCCAGCAAGAGAAGACAGGTTAGGTAACCAATGCAGAACTACTCAAAGGCCTATTACATAGCCACGGTAAGGAAGACTATTAGCAACAATGAAATAACTATTTAAGGAAAAAATGCTACATTATAGCTATATTATGACTACAGCTATGGGAAACACAAAAGAGACTAGAGGGAAATACCATGGTCTCGGAGGCCACAGCACAGAGGTGGGGCAGGGCACCATTCCACAACACTTAGGTCTGGCTGGGGCTTGGTCCCCACACTGGAACCTGCATGACCAAGAGCAAGTGATCTGGGGCCTTGTCCTCTCTTCAGTGAGATGAGATGATTAAGTAGTAGTGCCAGTCTCATGGGGCTATTGTACAGACAAATGATATGTAAAGCACTCAAAATAGCACTTCACATACACACACACACACACACACACACACACACGGTAATATGCAAGGGTTGGTTATTATAAGAGAGAATTACTAGTTTTTTCCCTATTTTAAGTACAGATACATATGAAAGTTGAAATCCCAGCTTCATCAACTTACTATGCGTGTGACATCAGCAGGCCATTTGACCTCTCTGTACCTTGGTTTGCTCCTTTTTTTAAATATGTATGCATCTATGTATGTATGTATTTATATTTTTTACCTTGTTTGAAACTAGCCCACATGCTACAGAGCTTTGAGGCCAGCTTCAGTATTACTTTCCCTCCTTTTATGACCACCAAGACTGGGGTTCAGATCCGATAGGAAAGGGAACCAGGGGGTGGTTTGCTCCTTTATGAAGTGGCAATAGGAACGGGACTGTTCTGAGCCACAGAGCCCTCGTGCCGGTGACTGCCCCAGCCATAGCTGTCCACGTAACACCAAGTTTTAAACTCTCATCCAGTATAACGCTGAGAAGACTTGTCTAAGGTTCTATTTCCATAGGATTTAGGGTGCCTTATGAAATAAACTGCTCTCTCAAACACTAGAAACAATCAGTATACAAGCAATTTATCATCATGTAATCAGATGTCATATCTGAATTTAAGGGATCTTTTAGAAACAGCTTTTCAAAAAGTTTGTATAAATTACACATCTGTTTTCTACCCATCTGTGTCTTAAAATTAGACTAGAATCAACTTGGGGGCAAGAACAGTGTTTTATATTTCTTTTGGCTCTCACTAAACATAGCACAGTGCTAACCAACACTTTAAAGTTCACCTGATGCATCAGCACAGAACTGAAGCTAAAGAAGCTTCAGTTAGGATACCTTCTAACATCTGCCTTACCCAGAAAACACTTCTTAAACCACTTCCGAGTCTTTCGGTGAAGTCCGAGGTCCCAAACGCCAGGGTGTTTGACTCTTGTTTTCCCATCAGTTTCTACTTATAAGGTCACACTTAGCAATTCGTTTATTCTTCCCATCCCAACACTCCTCTTGAAGTGTGAGAACGCGCCTGCAGATGACAGAAAACCCACCTTGTTAGACATGCGGGAACCAAGAGTTTTCTAAGACTCTTCGGGAAGTCCTGTTTCTGCCTTTTGTATAGTTAGATTGTCCCACTCATCATTCCACCAGAACACATCCTCACGTTTCAAACTGGATCCTTCCGTTAACATACTGGGTTACCTGCTTGGGGGTGTGTGAGAGTCAACCAATCGATGTTTCTGTCCCTCTCTTTCTCCCTCCCTCCCCTTCTGTCTAAAAAAAATAAATAAAATCTTTTTATTTATTTATTTATTTATTTATTTTTTAGAGAGGGAAGGGAGGGAGATAGAGAGAGAGAGAGAGAAACATCAATGTGCAGTTGCTGGGGGTTATGGCCTGCAACCCAGGCATGTACCCTGGCTGGGAAAAATAAATAAAATCTTTTTAAAAAATACTGGATTATGTTCTGGTAGTAAAAGCAAGAATAGTGAATTCTACTGGATATTTTGCATTGCTTTACTGGAATACTAGTTAAAACACCAGTTTATAATTTTTTACACATTTAACAGTTCAACGAATGCATGATTCTTGGACTGCAGTTGTAAGTCGACTCTTCACTGGAGAGTGAAAACATTATGAAATCACAGCATTAATTTCTGAAGCGAAGGACTGAAACTCCTCTTTCCAACTTCCTTCAATGCCTCCCTACTCCACATGCTCCTGCTCTTGTCCTGGAATTAGCCGCCGAATGTTCTCAGTTCGAATGGTAGCATACATTATAAAACTAGTTAAAAAGAACAAGGAAAATACGAGCAGCCAGTCCACGTTTTTTGTCGTCGTGCTGGGAAGAGGGCCCACTTGGTCAGCTTGAGTTACCACCACATTTTTCTTGGCTTCTATACCTGCAATAGAAATCACTTGTTTCCAATCAGATGGAAAACACACCCGCTGCAGACCTTTCTGAAGTACTCTGCATGACACCCAAAATGACGCGCAGTCTTAAATGCCACACTGATCTATCCGGGATGGGTCTTGCTCGCCTGTCGGTGGAGTCTGTAATTCGCCTTCTCCCACCACGTCAAAGGAACAGGAATCCGTGCAGCTGCTCTAAACTAAAACACTAGAATTTCTGTGAGCTCATAAGATGTTAAGAGCTGTCTTTTGTTCTCTTTTTATTTGTTAATTTTTAGAGGGAGAGGAAGTGGGGTGAGAGAGAAACATCAATTTGTTGGTCCACTTATCTATGCATTCATTTGTTGCTTCTCGTACATGTCCTCACCAGGTGAGGTTTTCTTTTTTTAAATGAATTTACTAAAAGAATTGTTAGCACAAGTAACAATTGGGATCGGTGATTACCAATTTCATTTGTATCCTATGTTTTCTTTAGAACATTGAACAAAATAGCTCCCTCTCTCCATTATCAATCTGAATGGCAAGACCTGAAATAGCTAACCACCTGGTACAAAGCCTTCTCCTATGAGGTCACTCAGCTCTTTGTTCTTTAGTGTTAGATATAAGTAATTACATGCAACTTCATATATATGGAAGGTATGTTATAATTTGTATTTATTTCCAGGGACTATGCTTCAGGAGGAAGATGGATGCTCACTATTGAGGTGTTAAAGCTTTTGAGCAGCAGACTTTCCTAATGAAGGAAATTTCTTCAATATACAATGCTCAAACTTTTACAGAGTGAAAAATAAGGCCATCTGGTTTGGCAAATACTAAGGAATTAAAATAGCATCTACAAATGGATTAATAAATGGAATGCTATCCAGGAACAAAAAACATAACACAACCATACACAACAGTGCAGATGGATCCCACAGATATAATGTGGAGTTATATAAGCCAAACAATCCATACTTTGTCTCCATTGATATAAAGTTCAAAAACAGGCCACACTAGTCTATGATGTCAGGAGTCAAGATGGTGGTTCCCCCTGAGGAGGGCAGGAGCAGCAATGCTGGGGGCAGGCAGGGGGGTGGGTGGGTGAGGCTGGTAGTGTTCTCTTTCTGGATCTGAGTACTGGTTACCCAAGGTGTTCGCTTTGTGAAAGTTCATCACCCAGTTCACTACTGACTGATGCGTATTTCTGTGTAAATATTATACTCGAATGAAAAATGGATTTAAAAAGGTATCTACAGGTGCATGATATGAGAATTTTGTCTGAATAAAGCACTCCATTTTTTTAAAGGCGTCTTTAATCATACGAAAATTACCAACTCATGGCATGTGGGTTGGGAGCCGTTCAGCAGGCTCACAACAGAGCACTGGAAGAGGAGTCTCGCCTGTGACAGCAATCTTGACCCCTTCACTTAGGGTGACAGTGGATCAGAACTCACAGAAGTCTCATCCCCCAGCAATAAAATGTCTTCGTTTACAGCACATCACTTCTACATACCTGTCTGATTAAAAATGAAGATCTTCAGTGTCTCCAGTGTTCGGTCTGTGTGATTAAATCTAGCCATCGGTTTCGCTCCTTGAAATAACAAGATGTTAGGAACAGCTACAGTGCCAAACCTGGTAGACAGGCTATGAGAGAAAGTCAGAAAACCCAAATTAACAGCGGGCATTCTCACACAGTGACCATATGAGAATCGATGGCAATAAACAAGACAGGATCTGATATTGCAGAGAGGTTTCTGACCTCCACACAACATCAGAATAGAGTTCCTGATATTTAAACTTTAGACTTGCCACTTCTGGCCTCTTTCCTCAGGGGTCACAGTTGGGGGCATAAGTCCCTAACTTCCAGATCAAAAATTTCTAACTCAGAGACAAAGCACAGTGTCAATTCACTTGACAGAAGGCATTTCAAACTCTCCAGAATGCCCAACTCCACTCCTCATAAAAGATTCAACTTACGGGAAACACAGTCTGGTGAGATGGCAATAAGGGATTTATAATCTAACAAACACACCAGCAGCTCACAACTAGGGCGGATGAGTGAGAAGCAATGTGACCTGCGTGGCTCCGCTCTGTCCACCTTTTCGTAACACAGAGCAGCGTGGAGCTCTGAGTCAGAACCCTCGGGTCAGCGTCAGTTCTGCCTCTGGACCAGGTAATCCGTGTAACCTGCAGATCACCTTTCCTCTTCAAGCCTCATCCACCCCCATTGTAAAATGGCGATGTTGGATAATCAGGGTTTTTCTTTCGTAGACATGCTTTAACTTAAATATTAACAGGAGACAATCTCACGTCCCACACCATCCATCTGAGAACAAGCATCCTGTCTTCTCCATAATTAAGGCACCATGCTGGACGCAGAGAAGGATGCGTGCACATGAGAGAACAAAGCAGGTGATAAAAGCCTGCAGGGAATGGGGGACGTGGTGGGGGTCAAAGTACCAGACCCCAAACCAGAAAGTTCTGAGTAGGTGCTGGAGCTCCCCTGCCGACCTAGAGACAGTGGGGAGGCCCAGTCAAAGCTGGACATTGAGCTGGACCATCCTTCCCATCAACCTGTTATCTTAGGCCAGGCCACTTAGATCTACTTCCCTGACACCCTGGTGAGAATGACTAATTTGTCGGGCAGTTTCCTTCTTCGTGAGCAGTTTCAGGTCAACACTGGCAATCACCCACACCAAAAGTCCCCAGAGCACAGGTCATCAGGTCTTACTCCATTTCTATCACCAACCTGACCCTCGCCCAACTTCCTGCGTTTGCTCACACACAGCACTCTGCTGTGAGTGGCTGAGGGGCGTCTGCTCTAGAGCATGAGGGCCACGTGCCGCCAGTAACCCAGGCACCGGCAGAGGCTGAGGGGAAACGTGTCCCGTCTCACTGGGGTCCTCAGGAACTGACCTTACCGAGCACTTACAAAAGACAAGAGTCCACTTGACAATATAAAAGAAATATAAAACGGGTAAATGTCACTTTAAAAGGCTAAATTAATTCACTGAATTAATTTATTGAATGTCTAGTAAGGAATATTCATGCAAAAATAAATGTAAGAAAGGAAAAGGAAGAGAGAGAAGAAAAAAGAAAGAAAAAGAAATCGTAAATAAACATAGAACTGGGGTGCCAAGAGTTGGGCTGTCAGGGCTAGGGACCTTCACTGTAGATGAAAGTCACAAAGGAAGATCCTACTTATGATCTGATTCTGCTAACTGATTCTGGCCAAGATCCTAGAAAGTCCTCGGGCCCCTCCCCTGGCATCAGGCAGAGCCACCTCCACCTCACGGAAACAGCCCTCCTTCCTCAAAAGGGGCCTCCAGAACGGCAGCCATCCGCTTCCTCAGTCAGTCGACACCCCTCACTCCTCACTCACACCTGCCTTCCCTCTGCAAAGCTCACGCCTACCTCCTCTGCTTTTCACTGAACTAATTACCACCTCCAAGTAACCGCCATTGTCATCCCAAAGGATGAGTCGGAGACCAACAAAGGGAAGATACCTGCTATGCTGAGATGCATCCAGGGCCAAAAAATGAAGAGCTGGAAATGCCCGGGGCAGAGAGTTAAAATGAGGAGCCAAACTGGCAGAAAATCGGCACCAAGGCGTGTAAAACAGGACTAGCGTGCAATCGCTGCCATTGGGGTCTAGAAAATCCATAAGGTCCTGCAGTAAAAGAAACAAAAGTTAAAGTCGGCAGTCAGTGTACCTGTTCTGGAAGGACACGCGGGAAACAGGAAATACCGCTGCCTCCGGGGAAAGGAGGTAGGAGCAGGGGTGGGAGGGGGACTGTAGTGTACCCCTTAAAACCTTCTGTATTTTGAACCATTGCATCCACATCAATCAGCAGAAAAGTACTATCGAATGACAAGTTACAAACTTTCCTCTAAGCTTTCTTAATATTACTACATAGCCATTTAACTATTTTTCATAATTTCTCCATTCAAATACTCGCAGGGTACAGGCCACCGTCCCAGCCCTGAATTCTGCATTTCACACAATCTGATGACACTATGAAAGCACTGTGATCTCAGGCCCAAACGATCATCTCAGTACATCCAAGTCTATACTAAGCAGTTGGATCAATGTATTTGGCCAAAGGTTGGTTCAAGTCAAAAGTGCACCATGCCTGTCCAGGCTGGTGTGGCTCAGTCGACTGAGTGCTGGCCTGTGAACCAAAAGGTCTCCGGTTCAATTCCCAGTCAGGGCACATGCCTGGATTGCAGGCCAGGTCCCCAGTTGGGGGAGTGCAAGAACCAAATGACTGATGTTTCTCTCACACACTGAAGTTTCTCTCCCTTCCTTCCCTCCTTTCCCTCTCTCTAAAAATAAATTTTAAAAATCTGAAAATAAACAAAAAAACTTTCATCCACCACCCTCAGACTGCTTATATTAAAGTGCTCTCTCCTTCATGCCACTCCTAGTCATGTGTGTGACACCTGTCCCACCTGTGAGACAGGTCCCACAGAGCTCTGCACGGTGCTGACCAGGCCCTGAGGGCAGGGTGTGAGGCCAGGGCTGACCCTGCTCTTAGAGGAGTTATGTGTGCTCGACACACCTTACCTGCCCTCATTTAAAAGAAGCAGTCACAGCTTTCAGATCTCGGACTTCCCTGTATTCCTGTGCCATCTGACATAAGTATCTAACAGGAAACTGCCAGTCCTCATCACCTGAGCATTCTCTGGGGAGTCACTGTCTACCCAACTAGCTGGGAACACATGGCTTGGTTTGGGACAACTGTCTCAGCAGTCACTCAAGAATAAACACTGGATTCAAAATCCAGATTTTTTAAGTGGCTTCTGTTACGATTCTGATGTCCACTGGGACTTCTGTCGTGGGGCTTGGTGGTGAGACTACCCCCAAAAGTGTAACAGACACTAGTTATTTCTCCCCCTTTCCCTACGAAGATCACAGAGAGGCAAGTCCATCCTCACTGATTCAGCCACTGAACACTATCCTACTTACAACACGATCAAGATTACCACCCCCTTTTGAAAGCTGATCGAGAATCCTGAATCATGAAATCAATGTGCTGAAAAGGAGAAAAGCACTAAGTTATTTTTTTCTTACTTGTGACATATTTAAAATTTTCAGGGTGAAATTTTCTATTCCAGTGACGTTTCTCTCCTCGCAGTTGACCTTGGGGGATTTCTGGCTGTCAGTGTGATTGGAGTCCTCGACAGGGGCCGGGTCGGCTTCGGCTGCTTCTGGCTCCGGGTAATCCTCCTCTTCCCTGTCCGGGAAGTTGGCTCCAGCGCTATCCAGAGAAAAGAGGTGCTCCCGGAGGCTGCACCGCGAGTCCTCGTTTCCTCCAGCCCTGCAGGTGCCGTCGCTGGGCTCCGAGCTCTGTTTGCCCTCGGCTTCCCCAGGAACCACAGACAGCATCACCACGTGGTCACCTTCAGTGTCCAGCCCCGGCACTGCCCCGGCCTCTTCTGCTGACGTGTCCGGGCCCATCAGGCTATGCGAAGGCTCCTCTTCACTCAAGTACACTGCCCCCACGTGGAGCGGGGGGGCCTGCTGCTCCTCTGACCATAAGTCACCATGTTTCTTCTCTGCAACCGAAACATGCCAGCATGTTCAGTCATATTTGGATTCCAAACATGTAAACTCAAAAGATTTACAGTTCTCCTCAAATACAACATTCTCCCTACAGAGAAAAAAAAAGCTATCCTTCCCATTAAACTACCAGAGAGCCCCCCACCATTCTCCTGGCCCTGAAGAAAGCCTCAAGGAAGAGCTAGGTTAATGAACGCCAAATATGTAAGAGGACAAGCCCTGGGCAGGTAGCTCAGTGGGTTAGAACAGCCTCCCGACACACTGAGGCTGCAGACTTACTCTCTCTCTGGCCAGGTCCCCAGTTAGGGGTGTGTGAGAGGCAACCAATCAGTGTTTCCCTTGCACATGTTGCTCTCCCTCTGTTTCTCCCTCCCTCCCCCTCTCTATAAAAATAAATAAAAGTTTGGACTTCCAGCCAAGGTGGAGGCGTAGGTAGATACACTGTGTCTCCTCACACAACCAAAGAAGGACAACAACAAATTTAAAATCAACCAGAACTGACAGAAAATCAAATTGTATGGAAGCCTGACAACCAAGGAGTTAAATAAGAAATATCCATCCAGACCAGTAGGAGGGGCGGAGATGCACAGGCAGGCAGAGAGAACTCGCATCGAGTTGGCGGCTGGCAGACCCAGCACAGTGGCAGATTGTGGAGCGAGCGGTCCCACATTCATGGGCAGACATACCAGGAGGAACACCTGGGGAGTAAGACAGACCATGCAACCAGGGCTCCAGCGCAGGGAAATAAAGCCTTAAACCACCGATTAAAAACAACCAGTGGGGGTTGTGGCAGCAGCGGGAGAAAACTCCCAGCCTCACAGGAGAGTTCGTTGGAGAGACCCTGGAACACACACAAACCCACCCACCTGGGAATCAGCACCAGAAGGGCCCAACTTGCTTGTGGGAAGTAGGGGAAGTGACTGAAAGCAGAGCAAGTGCCATTGTTCCCTCTTGGATCCCTGCCCCACATACAGCATCACAACATAGTGTTGTGAGTTGCCCACCTGGTGAATACCTAAGGTTCCGCCCCTCACTACATAAGGTGCAAAAAAAACGGCCCAAATGAAAGAACAGATCAAAGCTCCAGAAAAAATACAAATAAGGGAGAAAGGGATAGCCAACCTATCAGATGCACAGTTCAAAACACTGGTAATCAGGATGCTCCAGGAACTCACTGGGTACTTCAACAGCACAAAAAACACCCAGGCAGCAATAAAGGTTGCATTATGTGAAATGAAAAATCTACAGGGAACCAACAGTGACAGGAAGGAAACCAGGACTTGAATCAACAGTCTGGAGCAAAAGGAAGAAAGAAACATTCAACCAAAACAGAATGAAGAAACAAGAATTCAAAAAAATGAGGCAAGACTTAGGAACCTCTGGGACATCTTTAAACATTCCAACATCTGAATTATAGGGGTACCAGAAGGAGAAGAGGAAGAGCAACAAATTGAAAACTTATTTGAACAAATAATGGAGAAAAACTTCCCCAATCTGGCAACAGAAATAGACTTCCAGGAAGTCCAGGAAGCTCAGAAAATCCCAAAGAAGTTGGACCCAAGAAGGAACACTCCAAGGCACATCATAATTACATTACCCAACATTAAAGATAAAGAGAGAATCTTAAAAGCAGCAAGACAACAGGAGATAGTTACCTACAAAGGAGTTCCCATCAGACTGTCAGCTGATTTCTCAAAAGAGACCTTGCAGGCAAGAAGGGGCTGGAAAGAAGTATTCCAAGTCATGAAAGGCAAGGACCTACATCCAAGATTACTCTGTCCAGCAAAGCTTTCATTTAGAATGGAAGGGCAGTTAAAGTGCTTCTCAGATAAGGTCAAGTTAAAGGAATTCACCATCACTAAGCCCTCATTATATGAAATGTTAAAGGGACTTATCTAAGAAAAGGAAGACAAAAAATATGAACAGTAAAATTACAACAAACTCATAACTATTAACAACCGAATCTAAAAAAAACAAAAACAAACTCAGCAAACAACTAAAATGAACAGTATCACAGAAATGGAGATCACATGGAGGTTTATTAGTAGGGGAGTGGGAGGGGGATGGAGGGGAAAAGGTACAGAGAATAAGTAGCATAAATGGTAGGTAGAACATAGACAGGGAAGGTTAAGAATAGTATGGGAAATGTAGAAGCCAAAGAACTTATATGTACAACCCATGGACATGAACTAAAGTGGGGGAATGCGGGTGGGAGGGGGGGTGGAGGGGAGTGAAGTGGGGAAAGTGGGACAACTGTAGTAGCATAATCAATAAAATATATTTTAAAAAATAAATTTTAAATTAATTTTTAAAAATAATTTTTAAGTCAAAAATAAATAAATGGACAAATACATACCTTCAAGCAAAACCCACCACTTGCCATGTGAATTATAAACAAAAGCATTTCAGTACATATATCCAATTGTAAAAATATTATACAAACATTTTAACATTTCGTTTGATGAGAATACCCAAGAAAATAATGACGGCTCTATAGAAGACTCTATTATGGCAAAGCATTGTTGCACACGTCATAACAGTTCTGTGTGATGGGTGGGACAAGGGCCATCGCCTCCACTTAACAGATGGCCAAGTGAGGCGCAGAGAGGTACAGCACAGTGCCCCATGGCATGCAGCTAGCAAGCTGTGGAGCCGGGGTGGGAGCGCAGGAGTGGCAGCAAGGAGAAAAGGAAAACCCTCCTCCCACTCTGGAGCCACTAGCTGGGGCCTAGGTAACATGCTCGGGTATGGGGAGAGTCCCGGGCAGGCCTGTATGTCCATGTAGCAACCTGCACTCACCTCCATAACAAAGACTCCTGCTCTCCAACCCTCATTGACTCAACAACAGCTACCAGACCCCGTGCCAGACACCAACTAGAGCAAACTAATGAGCCCCTGCTGCACTCACATAGGCTCGCCTTGTGGCTGGGGAACCACCACCGGGGAATGAGCTCAGCCAAGCCAGTAGCATGTTGCCAGATTATGAATGACCAACTAGCTTCAGAGTTGGGTAGGGGTCTGGGAGCTTTCTAAGGTATGCACACTTGTACAGGGTCTTAAAGAATATTCCCATAGAGATTGGCAGGATCATTCAGTGATTCAAAAACATCCTATTTCTGGCTAAGATGGAATATTGGGGACCAGATTTACCCTTCCTCCTAAAGTAACCCAAAAAACAGTCAAATGTGTGAAACAACAGTTTCAGAAGACTAGTCATCGAGCAAAAAGGCCAGTGATCCCAAGAAACAGTCAAGCGAATGAGAGCCCTGCAGCTGAAACAGCTTACTGTCTGAGGGCATCGCCACCGCTGCGTGGGGGAGGGGACATACGCGGAGCCCAGTGGACTCACTGAGGTGAGGAAATGGAGCTGAGGGGCGCAGATCAAGGAAGCTGGAGTTTGCAGGGGAGAATTCTGAGGATGGAAGAGCTACAGAGCACGGACTCCGGAGATACGCACAGGGACCCCTCAGGTGTACTGGTCAGTGCATGCATGTGACTAAACTCTCCAAAGCCAGGGGAAGAACCACCCCAAAGGATTAGAGGCAACAGTATCCAACATTCACACAGACCTGGAAACAGTACCTGTACCCAGCAGCTAGACGGAAAAACCTCCTATTTCATGGGGCACTGGGTGGAGTACACAAAAGGACTCACCTCGGTAGTGGAGCACAATTAACCCTGGAGTAAGTACAGCTCTGCTCCCATCTAACAGACTTTAAAAGCATGGATCGAATTGTTTTCAGCAGTTTAATTTTCAGAGGCTGACCTTAACTGTTCTGCAGAACAAGACTCTAGAACATTTATAGAGATACTAAAATATCCATTAAGGTAAAATTCATCTCTAGCATCCAACCAATGATTTTCAGGCAAACAAAGAAGCAGGAAAATGACCCAGAATGACGAGAATAATCAACCAACTGAAAGTGACCCAGAATTTTTACCAATATCGGATTAGACGAGGACCCTGACAAGTACAGCTCAGTTGGTTGGGTGTCATTCCACAAAGCAAAAGGTCCCCAGTTCAATTCCTAGTCAGGGCACATGCCTGGGTTGCAGGTTTGGTCCCTGGTCAGGAGTGTGCAAGGAGCACAACTGACTGATGTTTCTCTCTCACATCAATGATTCTTTGCTTCTCTCTTTCTCCCTCTCTTCCTCTCTCTCTAAAAATACATACATACAATCTTTAAAAAAAGAATTAGACAAAGATATTAAAGCCATAATTATAACTGTATAACAGGAGGTCAAAAAGTTAAGTAGATATAAAGACATAAGATTTTTTTAAAACACCAAATTATACTTCTAGTGATGACAACTACAATGTCTCAAATGAAAACTGCACTGGATGGGATTAGTTGCAGATGAAACATTGCAGAAGAAAAGGTAGTGAACGTGAAGGCATAGCAACAACAGAACCAATCCAAATGAAACATGCAATGGGAAAGTGTTCGGAAAAAAAAATAAGAGCATCAGTGAGCTGTGTGACAATTTCAAAATGGTCTTATGTACAGATAATTGGGGTATCTGAAAGAAAGTAAAAGGTGAGGGTGGGAGGAGGGACAGAAAAAGTATCTGAAAGAATGATAACTATAAAGTACTGTAAAGAAAATAAAGTACCAGAAGGGGGGGAAAAAAAAACTACAAGCCTAGAATTCTATACCCAGCAAAAATACCTTTCAAAAAACAAAGGCAAATAAATATTTTTTCACACATACAGAATATGAAAGAATTCATCACCAGCAGATCTCATGATGAGAATTTTAAAGGAACTCCTCCAAGCAGAAGAAAAATGGTAACATATGGAAATGTGGGTCCACACAAAAGAATGAGGAGCACCGGACATAGTAACTACATGGATAAATACATGCAATTCTTTCTGAAAGTCCAGCAATGAAGGGGGAGAAGAAAAACAGGGTAGTTGCTACCGGCAGGCAAGGGGCTGAGGGAGGTTTCTGTTCTGGTTTTTACGACATAGGAGAAACTTAAGGATGTATAGAGCTGACGGGAGAGCATGTCAGGAGGGAGAGGGAACACTATAGGTTAGATACGACCAAGTACAGGGCTTGGGCAGCAAAGAGGGGCTTTGACAGAAGAGGGTCAAGCACCTCTGTCACTATGACCTGGAGAAAGGGCTGGGGGCCAGTGCAGGGAACTCTGAAATTTGGCGGGAATGGGCGCCACATTGGAGGTCTTTCTGTAGCCTTTGTTGGATGAACATGTGCTGCCTGAATAATCAGAAAAGCAAGCAAACAAACAAACAAATTAACGTGTTTGCTGCATCACTCCACAAGACAAAGCAGGAAACGAAGCCAGAGAGGTGAGGAGTCTGGAGAAGGACAAAGGGTGAGAGCAATTGGAGAGCCAGCCTGACTCCCAAATGACCCAGCTGTGCAGAGATCTGCTCTCTCTGAACCTAATCAACATTCCAGGGCCAATAAGTAAACGGAGAATGCCAGTATCCTAGGAGAACCTCAGGAGAAAAAAAAATCAGGGTACAAATTAGAATCTGGTTCTCCCTGATCAGCCTCAGCAAAAAAACAGACAGCTGTCCCCCAGAGAAAAGCAAGAGGGGGTCTGAGTGATGCAGACAGCTGGCATTTTAAATTCGGGACTGTAGTTTTCCCTCCCTGTGAAGATGTTTACGTAGACAGTACAGACCAGGGAAAAAACCTTATGGCCTCAGGGACCGTTGTTTCCATTTAGGTATTGGGAGAAAGAAACTGCTGAATTGCTCCACACTGAGACAGAAATGGCCTACCGTTCCAGAGCCACTGAACCATCCCAGGGTAATGCACTTTCAAAAGAGACTGCTTCCGACCCTAAAGCTGGGTGCAGCTTGATCTGCCCATAAGTGGAAAGTATTGCATTACTGGCAAGGAAGAGGTCTGGAGAGCAAGGGTGGGGGCACCACGTCCACTCTGCCAGGGAGCCCGGGCCTAGGCCAGCTCCTTCACGCTGTGCAGCTTTTCTCAGAAGGCTCCCTACCAGCACCAGGGGTTTTGGGGTTTGGGGGGCTTTTTACAATGGCTTCTGTGGCAGGGGAGCCACATGTGGGAGTACAAAAATACCAGTGAAACACAGAAATTCACAGGGATACTGTGCAGATTAAATTAGAACAGATGTGCACAGTTCCTAGCACATAGTAGGACTCCATAAATGGCCACAGTGATGATAGAGATGATGATGATGATATGATTGATGTTTACAATTCAAAGAGACAGAAGGGCACAGTAACTAAGTTGTATTAATTCCTCTGCTAAATACATTCTGGATGCACCCACTTCTCCCATCCCCACTGACACCCCTCAGACCAGGCCACAACCGTCTCTCACCCAGACAACTGCTGCGGTCACCTAACTGGTCTCTGAGGCTGGCCCTCTATCTCCCCCTCCAGACACTGCTCCACACGGCGGCCCACGTGGAACTGAAAGTCAGAGATCAATCTGACTGGGTCGCTCCTCTGCTGAAGCCTGTTCCACACCCACCCGCCGGCGCAGGAGTCTGAGCTCTGGAGCCTGGATACCAGGCCCCTCATGATGCGGCCTCTGCCCGCACACCCTGGGCTGGTGCCACCGGCACTTCCAGCCCCTTCCTTCCTCAGAGCTGCCCTGAGGGTGGTTTCTCTGCCAGGAAAGCCCTCTGCCCCCTCTTCTGGCCAATCCAACTCATCCTTCGGCTCTCACCCTGAACTTCTCCTCGTGAGGTGAACTTCACCTTCCCTTGCCCTCACACCAGAGGGGCCTCCCATTACAACACGGAGGAATGCCCCGGAACTCCCCTTGAAGCATTTCCGCTCTTGTAATTGACTTAATTATTTATAATCATTTAACGCCCGCCTTCCCCATCAGACAGGAGGCCAGGCCTGCTTCTCCGTCTGGCTCAGCGTCATGCCCTCAGTGCCCAGCACAGCATGTGGCACCTGAAGGCCACTCAGTGCGAATCTGCTCGCTGCCTGTCTAGCGAGGACAGGCCTGGGTGCACCGAAGCCAGGAGTCACCTCCTGTCCCTTGACACCTGCACAGCGCTGCTGTCTCCAGCTGTTAATCTGCCAGTGGTGTCCTTCACAGAAAAAAACCCTTGGAATCAACAGGGTGAAAAAGGTGAAGGGATTGGGACCTACACATTGGTCGTCACAGAATGGTCCCAGGGATGGAGAGCACTGCACAGGAAATAGAGTCCGTAATATTGTAATAACTCTGTACAGCGCCAGGTGGGCACCTGACATACCAGGGGGACCTCTTTGTACAGTATATGACTGTCTCACCACTCTGCTATACACCTGAAACCAATACAAAATAACTGAATGTAAACACTAATTGAAAAATAAAATTTTCCCCTGGCTGGCATAGCTCAGTGGATTGAGCGCAGGCTGCGAACCAAAGTGTCACAGGTTCGATTCCCATTCAGGGTACATGTCTGGGTTGCAGGCCATGACCCCCAGCAACCACACATTGATGTTTCTCTCTCTCTCTCTTTCTCCCTCCCTTCCCTCTAAAAAATAAATAAAATTTTAAAAAAAAGAAAAATAATTTTTTTAAAAAAGCCTTGGACTTTCAGCCACCCTGAAAAAAACCCAGCTGGTGAAGGTTCCTAGGTTGTCACCCCATTCATGGTCCAGCCATGGTGACCAATGACCGCCCCGCCACCCACAGCTGGCGTTATCCTCAGGTCTACAAGAAATATGGCCCTGACTACCAAGCAGACTCACTGAATGCAACACTAAGTCAGTCCCCTGAATCAGCCAAGAAACAGAATGCACACTCAACTTGGGCAATTTGAGGAAAGCTTAATAAAGGGACCACCAACATGGGGCTGGGTGTAGGGAAAACACAACCAATGGTAAGGAACTCCGGCACCAGTAACAGCAGACAGCAAGCCAGTTACCACTCAGGGGTCTTCCTTCTGAGGCCAGAGGCAGAAACAGTCACAGAACCTTGAAACAGCAAGGACAGACTTCTAGAAGCTGTGACTTTCAGTGGAGGGACACAGCCTAGCTGTGACAACTGCTGAGGGAGGGAGCTAAGCGAATGGGTACCCCAACTTTTTCCCCTCATTCCAACCCAAGGGAAGACAGAAGGCAGGAGAGACCATACAGGACAGCCACTCCCGGTACAGAGCAGGATGGAGAAGGCTTGAGAACGATGTGGGAGGCAAACAGAAGATATCCAGCACATGCTGTCCCCTCTCTGAGGCTGGGGTTTAACTGTAGTGACAGAAGGGCAGTACAGACCTTTCACTGTGAAATCAGACAGGCCCGGGGCTTGAATTGTGGCCCCTCAACTCTGGCTGTTTCATGTTGGCAAAAGTTTTATTGATGCTGAGTCTCAGCTTTCTCATCTATAAAATGGGGACGATAACAACATCTACTTCATATGCATTTAAAGATTACGTAAGAGGCCCTGGCCAGGTAGCTCAATTGATTAGAGCATCCTCCCAATAGCCAAGGTCACAGGTCAGGGCACATACAAGAAACAACCAGTGAATGCATAATAAGTGGAACAACAAATTGATGTTTCTCTTCTTCTCCCTTCCTCTCTCTCTCTCTAAAATCAATAAATTTAAAAAAATTAATAAAGATTAAATAAGATGATGTTTGTAAAGCACAAACGCAGCAGCTGCCACATAGTGAGTGCTTTCATTAATGGTAGTTATGTTACTATTCCTGAACCTTCTCTCCCTGCTTAGCAAGCCAGCGGCCCTGCCTCCACCAGGACACCCAGGCAAAGGAAAGACCTGCCCATTACTGTTCTAAATGACAAGCAAGACTAAAGGGTGTGGACTTCAAGAGGCCTGCAAAGAGTGGAGTGAAGAGGCAATCAGAGGAAGGACTCCACTGCTGGAACCAGCAATGCCTCCAGGGTGGCTGCCCCACCCCCACCTGAGGGGCCCAGAGAGCAAGCAGCAGGTTACCCTGGGGTGGGGGCTAGGAGGGGTGGGACCTGAGCTAGAGTGGCCTTATTTATTTTTTGAATCCTTACCTGAGGACATACACATTAATTTTAGAGAGAGGGGAAGAGAGGGAGAGAAACATAGATGTGAGAAACACCCATGGGTTGCCTCTCATGGGCCCCCAACTGGAACCAACCCGCAACCCAGGCCCGCAACCAACCCGCAACCCTATCAAGAATCCAACCCTCAAGAGTGCGCGATGCTGGAGGGTTGGGGTGTGGAGGAGGGATAAAGGAGGAAAACTTGGGAAAACTATAATAGCATAATCAATAAAATATACTTTAAAAAATACAAAATTTTCAAAAGAATCGAACCCTCAACCCCTCGGTACGCGGGACGACACCCAACCCACTGAGCGGCCGGCCTGGGTAAGAGTGGCCCTCTTAAGAAGGTGGTAGAGCTGGGTGCAAAGTAACGCACGGGCTTTGCAAGTCAAAGTGACAAGTTGGGCCACTCTCCAGCAGTGCAAACCCGGGCAGAGGACCTGGCCTCCCTGAGCTCGACATCTCCTTCAGTAAAACCGATACACGAGCGAAGCCTGGCCCGTGGGGACGGTGGGCGACTACATGAGGCAGGGATGGAAAGCGCCAGCGCGGTTCGGGGCTCCCAGTAAGGGCGGCACAAACGCCAGCTATTCGTTATGATTATTACCATAATAACAAAGCGCTCCCCAGAAAAACAAAGTGCTCCGATAAGCGCTTCTACATGGTCACTCCCGACCGCCAGTCTTCGGCTGAGGGGGCCTGAGAGTGGCCGGGTCACACCCGGGGCTCCCCGCCCAGCCGTTGACCCCACTGAGGACCGCGTGCGCGCGCGCGGGAGGGGGCCACCGGGGGAGCGAGGTGGGGGCAACGCGGGGAGAAGAGTTCGCAAGAGGCGAGGCGAGGCACGCGTTGCGGGCCTTGGCGCAGGTAAAAGACCATCGGCCGGACAATCCTCCGCTTGGCCCGGTCATTTTGCGAACGTCCACCTGACGCCCCTCAACCGCGGTCCCAGCCCGCACTCACCCTCCTGGCTGCGGGCGGGAGACTCCAGCAACCACAGCAGTACCAGCCACCAGCGGAGGAGCCCCATGATGCCGGGCGGCGGCGGGGGACCACCACCCAGACCGAAGGGAAAGCGGCGCGCAGCAACGCGAGACGCGCTCTCAGAGGCAGGAGGGCCGATAGGGTACAGTGCGCGAGCACGGGGCGGTCCGCGCCGCCATCTTGGGAGCTGGCAGCGCACGCCATCTTGGTGTCGGGAGACCTGCTTCTGGTTTGTGGCCTGCGTAATGGTCTCAGGGATCTTCGGGAGCCAAGCACCAGACGTGTCAGGTCATCTGGAACTTTTCTGGCCCCCATCTCCTGGGCGGGGTTCCAGCAAAGACCCGTGGCCCGCTTTCCTCAGGGGTTAGGTGGGGCCTGGCTGCTGGCAGCACACACTGCACCTGCTGGGTGCTTTATTGTTGGGCCAGGAAGGCAGGAGGCCTCCTCCTTCCAGTGCCCCACTGCAAACCCTCTAAGCTCCTGCTCTACTGGTGCTACCCTACCTGGGGTTGCTGGGTAGAGTACAGGATGCCCCGATAAGTTTGAATTTCACAGGAATAACGAATAGGTCTTTACTGTAAGAGACATAATGAATTTCAAGTGTAACTGAATGCCCCCTAATTTTATTTGTTACATCTGGCCGTCTTAACCCTACCTGTCTACTCAGGGCAGGAGGCTTTAATTGGTTTTGTGGACGTAAGAAACATCCAAACCAACAGAGAATTTTTATGAGTCTATTTGAGCTAAATTGACAACAATTGCCAGAAAGCAAAATCTCAACAGATTAAGAAAATGCTCTGCAGAATGGCAATTTTGCAGCTTATGAGGGGAGGTACCCCTGAGAAACTGGAATTATCTTGTAGGGGTCGTAAGCCTTGTAGCAAGGCTTCTCCTGCTAGGTGAGCGCTCTGGTAACCCATCTGTATCAGTGTACCAGCTAGTGGTGTGAGAGGCTGCCTTTGGCTTCAGTGAATTGTTTTTTTTAAAGCCTCAGCACATTGGCCCATTTCATGATGGGTGATTTATAAGCACACCTGGCTACACCATGCTGAGTGATCAGAAGTTTTTGTTTTTGACAAAAAAAAAAAAAAAAAGACAACCCTCGTGCCCAATCCCCCCTATTCACTTAATCTTACCCCTGAAAACATTTTTCTTTTTTGTTTCCCCAGAGGAAAACAAGTCCTGGCAGGGAAACATTTTGCTCATGTGGAAGAGGTAAAACAAAAAAACAGCAGAAGCACTAAAAGGTGTCAAAATCAATGAGTTCAAAAACTGTTTTGACTAGTGGGGAAAAAAGTCTCAGTAGGTATATTGTGTCAAATGGAGAGTACTTTAAAGGTCATTGAATTTTAAACATGTAAGAATAAATGTACAATTTTTTACAAATAAATCCTGGGTCTTGGGGGTCCCCCCTCATATTTTTACACATTAAAATAAAAGGAGGAAAGGTAAGTTGAGTTACATGAAATTCATTGGTGGTTGATTAGGGAGTCAGGAGAAAGCAAAGCCAAGAAATGTGAGACTGGATCAAGAATGAAATGGAGACACATACTTTTGGTTAATGAGTAATATTCACCACGCTGAGATGGTACGTAGAAAACAAGGTACCATGAGGGGGTTCTGTGATCTCATGCTCTGGTGCAGTGGGTGTGCCCCGAGGGGTCTTTTTCACTTAAGGTGAAGACTGACCTTTGTCAAGAAAGCTACAGGCCTAGAATGTGACTACTGTCCATGATCCACTTTTAGTTAGTAATTTTTATGTTCATACCACCCTATGTGATTACAGTCTCTGAGTCTGTAGGGCCACCACACTGGCCTTTCCTGAGCATTTCAGGTTTAGCGCGTGGGTCCTGCAGGAGATGAAGCCACCTGGAGCATACAGCTAGGACGGGACCCAGAGTGGAGGAAGCATGGGTACGGAGGAGAGATGTGCAGCCAAGGAACAGGGCTGTGCATCCCAGAGCAAAGTCACAGTGGGGGAATAAAGAGGATGGACCCCCCTTGTCAGCAGATAGGGGGAAGGCCTCCTAGAAAAGAGGAAGGCAACTTTTAAATCAACGTGAAGAGTGTGGCTTTCAAACTTGCTTTAAGAGATTGAAAAAACGAATAGATTTCAAAGATCTTTATATGAAAGCAATAGTAAGTATAACAATGTTAAGAACCTGGGTTGCCATAGAGTAACCATAGTCCCCTTGTGCCCATCCCAGATTGTTGGACCAGAAAGCTGCATCATCAACCTGCCTCTGTGGATGATTCTTATATTCTAAATAGGTTGGTCGGAGCATCATCCCTTAAGCTGAAAGGTGGCACGTTCAATTCTCAATCAAGGCACATGCCTGGGTTGTGGGTTTGGTCCCGTCGGGGCATGTGCAAGAGGCAACCAATTGATGTTTCTCTCTCGCACTGATGTTTCTTTCCCTCTCTCCAAAATCAGTGAGTATGTCCTTGGGTGAGGATTAAACATACATAGATAGATAGACAGACAGACAGCATGCTTTTGCTGTAATAAATTCTCAGGCAGTTCCAGGAGTATTTGAGATGATGGACAACACGGGTGACAGGGCCCATGGTTCTAGAGCTGATCACTACAGCCATCATCTCCCTACCTTCCTCCCTCGCCCCCAACAGTGCAATTACAAATGTTTCCTTTGTTAACTCGCTCTCTCCCTGTTCCTCCCCCATGTCCAATTTGAAGGTGCACAAAAAGCCAATAGGACAGAGAAGTAAGGGGATTTAGGGTTAATGAAAAGGAGGCTGATTTGAGTTATCCAGACACTCCAACACGGATGTCCTACTGTTACTATGTCTTCCTCTTTTCCGAGTCCTTCCCCTCCCTGTGTTTGTTGGCTCTTTGGAGAGGTACACTCCCAGATGTTGAGATCGTCATCGTTCAAGAACTTCCCAGTAACTGCAGTCAACGGGGGAGAGTGCACGTTTGGCTGTCCACCACCAGGTGCCACATGCACTTATTTTGGGGGAGAAAATTGCCTTTGAGCTTGTCTTGAAACTGATTTTATTTTCGAGTGTTTTTTTTTCTGTGGGGGGTAGGGGAGATGGGTAACAGTTGACCTTATCCCTTTCCTTTGGCTGAAATAAGTTCTTTGCCCCAACACCATAGGGCCTGGGACTGTTCCTACAAGAGGCTGGTAATAGTTGGGACTGTTAGGCACAGCCACACACTTGCACTCCTGGTGTTTTTTGTCCCTCTCAATATGTTTGCCTAGATTATTTATTTAATTTTATTTTTTCTTACAGCATAGGACCTCACAGACTGAGGTTACCCTCCACAATTGATTTTTTTTAGATTTCATTTATTTATTTTTTGAGAGAAGGGAAGAGAGGGAGAGAAACATCAACGTGTAGTTGCCTCTCATGTGGCCCCTACTGGAGACATGGTTTGCAACCCAAGCATATGCCCTGACGGAATGGAACCAGCAACCTTTTGCTTCACAGGCCCATGCTCAATCCACTGAGCTACACCAGACAGGGCTGCCTAGATTATTTTAATGTGGTGACTCATGAGGACCTCTCTTCTTTTTCTCTCTTCCTCCCTCTCATGTCAGTGGACAAGTATTTACTTTCGTTTTGATCACTGTGGCAAAGTGTATTTTCCAAAGATGGCAGCAATAGCATGCCCCATCCCACATACTGTTCTGCAAGTAAGTTTGTTACAGGGTGCAGCCAAGAGGGGGGACCCCAAATAGGCATTTGAAATGGGGTCCAGAACTTAAGATGTCCAGGAGATTTTAAGATGTCTTCACCCCCATTCCCCAGGTGTGGGCTGGGGGAAGGGACACGTGGAGCAGGGCCTTTGAAAGCTGTTTCTCATAGCAACAGCCTTGCAGCTAACCTCTGGTGTGGTCATTTAACATATCTATAGCCTTTGGCTGGTCGCTTAGATATGTTAAATAGCTGTGGCCATGCTCAGAGCCAAAGGAATGGAAGTAACTTCCCCACCAAGACGTAACTGGGGGGCAGGTCCCCCAAGTTATAGCGCCTGCGTGGGAGCTTGGAGATGATTGGCTCCAGGACTTGGGGCCACACCTGCCCCAACTCACGATGGCAGTTGAGTAAAGCTGGAAGGGTATGAGTTCTGGCATGTGAAGCTGAGTGTGGGAGGAGTCGGAAATGGGGCTGCAGAGGAAGATTGGCGCAGGGATTTAAACCCAGATGCAGCAGCCATTGGAGAGAGAGCCACTCGGCCTTAACAGAGTGGAGACTCCCGCAGCCCTGAGAGGGGGAGAACCATGCAGCTGTGGAAGGGCAGAGAGGATCACAGCCATTAGAGAGAGAGAACCACACAGCTTTAGCAGAGTGAAGACTCCCGCGGCCCCAAGAGAGAGAACCACGCAGCCTTGACAGAGCGGAGACTCCCGCAGCCCTGGGAGGGAGAACCATGCAGCTGTGGGAGGGCAGAGAGGATCACAGCCATTAGAGAGAGAGAACCACACAGCTTTAGCAGAGTGAAGACTCTCACGGCCCCAAGAGAGAGAATCACACAGCCTTGACAGAGCGGAGACTCCCGCAGCCCTGGGAGGGAGAACCATGCGGCTGTGGAAGTGCAGAGAGGATCACAGCCATTGAGCAGGGGGAGTACCTTGCAGCTTTAGCAGAGTGAAGACTCCCGCAGCCCTGCTTGAGAGAATCACCATGCAGCTTTAGCAGAGAACCGCCACTCAACTTTGGCAGAGTGGCGACCCCCCCCCCCCCGCCCCACCTTGCAGCCATTGCGCAGGGGGAGAAGCACACAGTTTTGGCTGAATGGGGACTCCCGTGGCCCTGGGAGAGAGGACCACGTGCCTGTGCCAGAATGGGGACCCCCACAGCTTTAGAAGGGGGAACCACCACCTGGTTTTAGCAGAGATCCCGGCAACTCAGCTGAGGGTGCCGGGAACCCAGGGAGGTCTCCCAGTCGAGATGGAGTACTAACTGGGAAGAACCAGAGGACTACCTGAGCCATGGACTTCTATTTCCTTTCCTGAGATACGGTACTCTGGACTGGGCAAAGGGGGAAGGAAGGAAGGACTGTGTCTGTTTGTGGGTCTTTTAAGGGACTTGAGGATTTTTTGATAAAGACATTAGGTCACTACTTTAAGTTTGTATAGCATTAAATAAACATTTCCTTTCCTTTTCACGAATCTGGCATTGAGAGACGTCTTTCCTCGGGCGGCAGACATGACGGACCTG